TATGTTTTTTTTTCTTTCATATCTTTTTTATCTTCAACTAACAAAAAAATATAGTTTATTATAATTGTATAAATTTTTTGCATTCATAAATATTTATGTTTTATTATAAAAATTATATGCTTTTTATTATAAATATAATATTATTATAAAATTTTATGCTTTACACACAAATTTTTTATTTAGACACAAAACATAAGAATTATCTATATTAAAAAATCAAAGATAAAAACATTGAATATATTATCGATGATAATGATTTTCCTAGTAATCCTAGTAATTTAATTTGCATATTTTTTGCAAGTCATTAAATAAATTAGATATTAAAACTTTATATTTACATAATTCCATTCAATCCGGAAAAGTTAATAAAAAGAAAAATATATGAAAATAAAAATACAGCTTACACCAGAGTAAAAATTAATTAGAAAGTGTAGAAAGTAGAATATAAAGAAAAAAAAAAATAGTTACGAGAAAGCGATAGACGAGAAAGGTAATAGTTAATTATAGCAATATATTATCGATGAAAAGATTCAGATAAAAATGGATAAAGATTTATAATACATAATTTCATTTATGTTATTGTTTTATTTATGTAACTTTATAATATTAAAATATTAATTGCATAATTTTATATTTCTGCAAAATCATCTAATATAATTATATACTTAATATTATTTATAATATTATTTATAATTATTTATAATAATTTATAAATGAAATCTAATAGCGATTGCATATCAATTTTAAAATTGAACTAAAGCATTCTAAAATTAAAAAACAAATATCAAATGAAGATATATGTAATGAAAAATATATACAATATCTCAAAATCACTCAAGATATATTCGTAGAAGATAAAACATTAAATAAAACATTAAATCATTTGAATACATAATATAAATAAGAAAAAAAAAAATATTCAATTATAAAAAAAAATTTCACTTTAATTTTTACTTTTATTTTAATTTATAAAATATATATGTATATATACATATAAAAAAAAAAAAAATTTATTTTTGTATTATCAAAGGATTGTGGGTCCTATTGTGGATTTTTTAAAATATTTAATTTTTTATTATGAAATCATCAGTTTTCAATAGCATATCAAAACCGCATATTAAATCAAAGAATATTTATTTTTTTTAAGATTTGGAAAAAATCGTGTTATATTAAATCAGCCATTAATTGGAATATTAAATTTTACTATTTATGTATAGATTTTCATTTAAAAATCTATATATAATATATATAATATATAAATTTATATATACATATATATATATATATATATATATATAGTATATATAGTTATATATATAGTATATATAGTATATATAGTTTTATATAAACTATGTATGATAATATTTTACTAAAAAAAAGTGAACATTTATTTTCGCAAATTTGTATTTAATTTGTAATATAATATATATAATATATATAATTCAATTAATAAAAGAAAATTATATAACTCAATGAAAATTACATTTTTCAATTATTTATTAATCAATTAAATGTAAATTTAAATATAAACAGAAAACATTATAAACATTTGATGATTATACTTTCAAATATTTTTTAATTCTATTCCTAAACTATTTATATTGTTATCTATTTTTCTCTTTTCATCTCATCAAATAATTAAAATTAGAATTTTAAAGAAATAATAAAATCTATTAATTTATTGTTTATAAATATTGTTTATAAATAATTTGGATTATTTTTTAACAAAAATCTTTAAGAAGTTTCAATTAAAAATTAAAATTTGCATTTTAATTTTTAACTTCATGCACATGAAAAAATTTGAATTGTACCTCGTTCACGACGTTCTATTGTTTTCTCTGGACTGCCATCGAAGAAATACGTTAATTCAATAGGTTGAAATGTACATTTGTTTCGTTCATATTCTAGATCCTTATTCACTGTCATTTTTTGCTATGTATAATACACAAGTTATTGCACGTTGTTTATATAAATAAAATATCAAATCAAAATTAAATGTTATAATTCAATAATTTTTGCTTAACTTAAAAATTAAATATGTTCACTTATATGTTTGTCGCGTTCAATATCAAGTTACGACTAAACATAAAACGTTTAGCGAAATTCACTAAATAATACAAATCCCTACTACACTTAAATTCATTCGCCATTTTCCCCTGATATAATACCAGGAAAGTCACTACATATGCTCAAACGTATTGATGGCGTCATCAAGATTATTGGTGGTTGATGAAAATCAACACAGAAATGATAGAAATGCTCTTCTTCGAAAATACATGATATTACATGATTTTATTATTATAAGTTTATAGATTTGACACTATCAGTCAATATGCATGATATTTTTATGAATGTATAAATTAATGAAGATAAACAATCAGACTTCCATTTTTTCCACAGAACTTTTTATCAGCGAACAATAAGTAATAGAAATGAAATTGAGAAGAAATTCGTATTTGAAAACATGATGCGATATAATGCCATCTATCGTCATTTCGTAAACTTCATAGTTGATATATTTTGTTTTATTAACGAAATTTCATATTTCATATTTTATTATATATGTTATTTCATGTTTTGTTAATAATATAATTTATTATTATGACATTAAAAATTTTTTTTCTAAATTTCAATTATTCGTCATGAAAAAATCAAATTTTTACGATAAATATATAAAGTATATAAGAATAAAATAAAATAAACTCAAATCCTATTTTAAAAATTCATAATATAATCATAATATAATATAATTAGTGATAACAAATAATCAAATAGATAAATAAAAAAAATAAAAGAATGCAAGAATTCTTATTATGCAATCTCTGTAATGTAATCTCTGTCAATAAAACGCAATTTATTATTGATTTTTAATTTCAATAATATGAATATTATAATATGCACTGATTCGTCTTATTGTTAAACTAGTTTTCTGATTGGCTGGAACGATTCTGTATTTACTACACTACATAAAAATTGAAGTGAATAACTATATAACATATACTTCAACTATAAATTTTTATATATATATAAGTCTTACAAGAATATATCTTGATTAAAAATATAGAAATAAATTATTATAATTAATTTATTTATATAAAAATATAATATAAAAATTATTTAAATTAAGAGTGAAATATAAATCTGAAATTTAAAATAAAAATGTACTTAAATTAAAAAATATTGAAACATAATGAAAGAATTTAAAACTAAAGAAGAAGTTAAAAACTAAATAAAAAAATTATATAAAATACAATAGAATTATATAAATATATTATTAAATATTATATAAATTATATAAAATAAAATAGAATAAATCTTTATCAACTTTCTGATCTTTAATAAATCTTTTATATTACTCGTATTTATTAATTTTATATCACATATACATTTTAAAAAATCTCCCATATATTATTTATAATAAAAAATAAAAAACTAAATTGCATGTTTATCAATTTTATTATTGTTTAGTGTCCTCCAACGATAATTAGAAAAATTAATAGAATATATTTTATAGATAATAGAAAATATTTTATAGATAATAGAAAATATTTTAATTTAAATCTTAATGTTAAAATTAAAATCTAAAATCATATAGTTTAATAACAGTATCTTTATCAAAAACACGCCTATCTTATTCAAAGCGAAATAATATAAAATTGAAATTTTTTCTTCAATTGAAGAAATACTTCTAATTACAAAAAATAAGAATTGAAAAAATGAATACAAAAAAACAAATGAGAGAAAAGAAATAAAAAAATGAAAGAGAGAAAAAATGAAGAAAACATTTAAAAAATGAAATCAATCAGTCGATCTTAGATTACAATTTATATCAAAATTTGTTGTTTAAAAAATTTAATCTACAATATATTTAAAAAATAAAAAAAATATATGTGTAATATATTTTTCTTATTTCTATTATATTATTTCTCTATTATTTCTAAATTTCATTCACATAAAATTGTAAAATAAATTTGAGAAAAAGAAAAGATTCGATTAAGAAATAATTGGATTTGATGTTAATTTTTAAATAAAGTTTTAATCTAATACTTAATAAATTATAAAATAAATTTTAAATACATATACATATAATAATATTTTTTCAGATTTTTATTTACAAAATATCAAATGATATTGTAATTTTTTGTATTAAAAAATGATTATTTAAACTCTCTTAAATTATTTAAGAAAAAAACTCAAGTTTTTAATAATCAATTGCTTAATAGCTAATTATATAATAGTTAATAACTTTAAAATTAAAAATTTATTTATATTTTATTATATATTAAGAATGTAAAACTGAAAAAAATTAAGAACAGTTTTTCAGGAAATTGAATATCAATCACTTAAATTATAAATCGACTATATAAGATAGAAAATGATCAAATCCAAAAATATAGGTTGCTATACTTTGTCATAAAATGTTTTGATTTATAATTTATTTATTTATTTATAATTTATATAATTTTAAATTAAATTTTAATTCCAACCATTAATACTTCAATTATTTTCTATATTGAATCAATAACATATATGATTCAAAAATCAATAAAAAAAATATTGCATATCATTTTATTTTGTAACTCTGTGAAATATATTATATTCATATTAATTATTCGTTATTATTATATTATTTCTTATTTTCTATTTTATTCTATTAATTTTTTCTATTTTAAACATTTAAATATTTAAAAAAATTTCACGTTTCAGTATCAATTCTTTTCTTTAATTTCAATTTGAAAACTTTAATTAAAATATATATAAATGATATTATAAATAATATTATATATGTTATATTATATATACATGTATGTATATATATATATATATATATATATATATATTATGTATATATATTATAAAAATATATTATAAAAATATGAAAAAAATATATTTTTAATTTATATTTTAAAAATTTATTTTAAAGTACAACATAATATACAATTGTAAAATATATTTTTAAAGACATGTAAAAAAAAGAAGTTATGATGAATATATTCTTCTTTTTGATGTATAATTTAACTTTATTTAAAATTAATTTGCATATATCGAAATAAAGAACACAATGATTGATGTTTTATACTGTTTTTTGAATGCTATATCAAATATTAAAACAACAAAAATAATTTTTAATGAAATTTAAATCTCTGATGGTTTAATACGTAAAATCACAGGAACACTAGTGCATGGTAAAATAGCTAATTCTGTAACAACTGCCGTTACTAAATCGGCTGGTGTAACATCGTACATGATATTTAAAAGATTTAATGATTTTTTTGTTTTCCACTTCGTTAATAATGATTTTTGCATACCGTTTTTATAATCTTGTGCAAGCTCATCTGCATTTCCTATAAATAAGATAGAAAGAAAGAAAAAAATATAAATAAATAATATTATTATAAAATTAAATAGTAAATTAATAAATAGAAGAATAAATATAAAGTTTTACTTACCTAATTCATTATAGACAATAGAATCTGTTTGTACACGTTCACAAGATTTGTGAGTCTCGCAAGCTACTAAGACTGGAATATTAAAGGCTCTTGCCATCAAGGCAACTTGAGCAGTTCCAACTCTTGACATTACTGCACCATTTGCTAGAATTGCATGTGCACCAAGGAATACTTTGCTTACCTTAATAATTATTATTATCAATAATCTTAATAAAAATTTAATTTTAATAAAAATAAAATTATCAGTTACTTACTTCAGGCATTACATAACTTAAAGCATTAATTAAAATATAAGAACATTCAATCCCATGTCTTGATAAACGTCTAAGTTGTTCCTTTCCTTCTAGCCACGGTCTTCCATCCACAACAATAACACGAAATTGTTTACCTGCAGTATGTGCATCTAACAATATTTTATGTATTAAAGATGAACTAAAAACAATCAAATTTTATTATAAATATAGAAAATATGTAAAAAATGTGAAAATAATTTTAAATAATTTGAAATAATAAAATACTCACTAGGCATAAGTTAAAATAATATCTCCATTAGATATTTTAGTTTGAATAGTTATTGATATTGCCTTGTCAGCTAGCTCTATTTGTTCTCGAATATAAGTATCTATTGCAGTACTTAATTTGTTTTTTGCCTAAAATTTTTAGTTTTCTTTTTTTTTCTTATAGTTTTCATTTTAATTTTATTTTAAAAATAAATTATTTTAAAAATCATATAAATATATCTAAAGTTTAAAAAAAGTAACTTACATTTACATCAGATAATGAAGAAGGAAACTGTGTCATTTGCCATTTCAAATGTCTCATTGCATTTTGCATTGACACAGCTAATGGCCTACAATAATGTAAGTAGGCTATAGATTCTTGTAAATTTGCTTCAAGACTTCTAATAAAATCAGCTTGCGGTGGTCTTTCAAAATCATAAATAAGTTGCTTAACAGCAGCTAAAAGTGCAACACATCTTGCATTGCTACCAACAATTATTTTGTTTGCATATTGTGTACCTAATCTAATTATTGTTGGATGTATATTTGAATTGACAAAAGGAACATTTACAATAGCCTGTTTTCTTTCGTGATATAGATGTTTGAAAAGATTTATTTCATGTGTATTACATTTTTGAATTGTTTTTATAGGCATTATTACTTTTTTAACTGTTTCTGTTATTACAGATTTATCATTATTATTCTGCTCTTTACTCTTAATTTTATTTTTTTCTAATAAAATTTGTTGTTTAGCTGCTCTTTGTGCTTCTTGTTTTGCTCTTCTTTCAGCACGTAATTCTGCTTTGCTCTTTCCTTCATTACTTGTTTCTGATATTGAACTTTTTTCACATATATTTGTAATTTTATTGACTACTAATACTTCAGCAGATTCAATATTTTCATTGGTTGTACTTTTTGATGTCTCATTGCTGTTTTTATTCTTAATATTATTCAGAGAAGCAGATTTATCATTTGAAACATCTTTATCTAATATTTTACTAGATTTGGCTTTTGCTTTAGCATGTGCTTTAGCTGCTTTTTTTGCTTCACGTTCTGCTTTTATTTCCTCCCGTGATTTTTCAGAAATATTTCCCTTTTTGTTGGTCATTGTTCTTGATGCAATTGTTTGTTTTTTCAATTCAGAAATTTCTATAAACAAATTATATAAATTCATAATATTATATATTTAATAATATTTCAATTTAATTTTTAATTTCTAATATTTTTAATATATTAATATATTATATAAGAAAATAATCGTAAGGAAAGAAATAATAAATTATTAATTACATATATTTACAGACATGTTCCTCTTGTTTCATGATTTCTGTATTTTTTCTTAATCATAAGAAACATTCAGCTAAAAAAATCAATTTTAAGAAATTAAAAATTTATTTTAAAATTTACATACATAAATGTATATATTTATTCATAAACGATTCATTAATATATAATTTTAATTTTAATAGTTTAATTTTAATAATAATTTAAAAAACCTATTGAAAATATTTATTTCAACACAAAAATAATTATTATATATATATAAAAAAAATCATAATTGAAATATAATTTCAATTTGATATATAAAAACATATCAAATACTTTACATATTTTTGAAGCTAATATATAAATAAATTTTATATAATATATAAAACATTGATATCTCTGGCATGTACACAATTTAATTTGTAAATGTTAAATTGAAAAATAAATTGTATTTTTTATTCATATCAAATTTCATTTAATTTAATTTTACGTCAAGAAATTAAACTTACTTTTTAGTCAGACATATTGATTTATTATGCTATTCAAATTTCACAAAGCATATTACGAAATAATATTTAACATTTCATAATCTTATTCTCATAATATAATTATTTTATAAATATACAATATGTAATAAATTTGGTAAATTATATATTAATACATACAATATTTTTATTTCAAAATTGTATTATTTTACATATATTAAATTCATTTCACTAACCTATTGTTTTATTTTCAATAACATCATAACGAAATAATTTTTCATTGAAATATCTCGTATTTGAAACAAGTACCTTTTATTTTTTTATTTTGTATATGTATTTATTAAGAATGTGCGTTATTGGGAAATAAAGTTCTTTTACTTTTAGACAATTTCTACTATATACTCGACAGTTTCGCCATATTTTACTTTAGTACATAATAGTGTTTCCATCTGTGGATATAATTTTATACTAATTTTAAAAATAAATTTTTAGTTTATTTTATTTCAGAGAAAATAATATTGTTAAGTATTATAAATATAAAGAAAAAATTAATTAAATTAATTATTGTAAATATATTATAATATATTGTTAAGTATTCAAATTAACTTTACAATTATATTATGAAATAATATTTATTATATATATATATATATATTTATATATAATTATATGAAAAAAATATATATAATTGATATATTTAATTAAATATATATACTATCTATAATATATAATTAAAAAATATTATATACAAAAATATTAATGCATATTTTATATGCGTATGTTATATTTAAATGAAAATTGAAAAAGACAAATGGATTGAATAAAAATATTAATGCTTTTTTTAGATTTTATTTATATAATAATTTGTAAAATTGTTAGATCATTTTTTTTGCGCTGCTGCAGCTTCATCTTCTCGTTGATAAGATTGTAACAATTCTTGTTTTTTCGTAGCAATTCGCTCTGCTCTACGTTTACGCGCTTCTCTAACTTTAGTACGACGCGCCTCAGCTTGATCTGAAAGCATCTCGGCTCTCGCTTTTTCAGCCTTCTTTTTATGAATGAATTCCATTAAAACTCTTTTATTCTTAAATACATTACCCTTAGCTTTCATATATAGGGAATGATATAAATGTCTGTCAATCTTTTTTGTTTCACGATATTTTTTTAACAGTCTACGGAGAACTCGCATTCTTTGAATCCATAGATCCTATAAAAAAATATATTTCATATTAAATATTAAAAATTATAAATTAAAATATTATAAATTATAATTTACACATAAATTATTTCTTCTTAAAGAAGAAATAATTAAAATATGTCAAATTATTAAAGCAATAATTATAAATTTTTACCTTTTGCGGTGTACGAGCATTTGCTGTACCTTTTCTTTTACCAAAACCACAATGACGTCCTTTACGTCTAGCTTCAGTATTTTTACGAACTCGAGCTCTAGAGTGGACAGCAACGGGTTTCTTAATAATAAGACCATCTTTAATTAACTTTCTAATACTTTGACCTTAAAAACAAAGATATTAAAACTAATATTTTAATAATATTAAACGTGTATAAAACGGGTTAAAATTTAATTTTTAAATTATCATACGTGAGTTTGTATTTGCAATTTCGTTGATTTCATTTGGATCCAACCAAACTTTTTTTTTACCACATCGCATAACAGAAGCTGCAAGCCTCTTTTGTAATTTTAAGGAACTGAAACATATATTGAGGTTATGTTATGATAAATAACATATTGATATTCAATATCATCTTAAAATATTATTTTAATCAGATTTGTGTAAAAAAATAATTTAAATTTAATTATGATTTAATTCAAATTAAATTGTTTTTAAAAACAATCATAAAACCATGTGGTCAATTATCAACAAATTATCAAATATTAAATACATAAAATATGATGTATTAAATTCAACAATATGTCAATATATATTCTTTTAATAATATCATAAATACAAATTAGATTTGAATCTATGTATTTATGTAATTAAAAATTTTTGAATAGTTCATACCTCATGATGGAGTCTAGAAGTCCTTTTTGCGAAAGAAAGTTAAAATGGTGGAAACTACGTTTCCTATGTGCTAAACGGAAGTAGTAAAGAAGAAAAATTTCATTTCAAATAAATCTAAAAAAATGATAATTATATATCATATTACAATTTCCTATAAAAAATTTTATTTCACAATTTTATTATTTTAAATGTATATTAAATTATTCTTTCCATCAATTTTGAAATATTTTAAAAACAAATTTTATAAAACAATTAATAATTTGTTTACTTTGATTACTTTGATAAATAAATAAAAACATCACTAATTTTGAATAAATTATAAATATATATAAATAAATTATTATAAATTTAAAGTTAAATTATTTTAATCTATCCAATTAAAATTTGATTTGCAATAATACATTATTTGTATATACGTATTTATTAATTAGAATATTATTTAAAATTAAATTTTCCCGCTAAAAAGAATCAATTAATTAATGATATATAATGTATATATCCTATTTATGATATTTGTGTTGAAAATATGGATCTGAAAAATCTTATAAAAATCGATATATTTTATTTATGGATTATTTTATAATAATCTGTATTTATATTTTAAATATAAAAAAAGAATTTTGTCAAAATATAATTTTTTCTTTTTAATGCATAAAATAATAATATCTAAAATATAATAAATAAATGAATTCTATTTTATTTCATATTTGAATGAATAAAAATAGTGTTTTATTGTTTAGTATAATAACTTTATTTCAAACATATAAGTTCTTTTATTTTAAATATATCTTATCTGTATAAAAAAAAATATATATCTTTTATCTATAATCGATGTAAATACAATGTTTAAACAGAAATTTATAGGAAAATTTGTCATGATACATTTTAAAAAATTAATTTCATGTATGATATAGTATGATAACCTTATTTCAAACATATAAGTTCTTTTATTATAAATATATCTATATAAAAAAATATATATTTTTTATCTGTAAATCGATGTAAATACAATGTTTAAACAGAAAATGTTTATAGGAAAATTTATGATAGATTTTAAAAAATTAGTTTCATCTTTTTCAACACAAAAAAAACTTCATGACATATTAACAACACATTTAAAACTTGACTATAATGTTATTAAAAATCATAAAATTGGAGAAAATAATTCTATTAATAAAATATCAATGCAAAAAGTTATTCAAAATTGTAATACCATAAAGGTATGTATACATTTAAATAATATTGGATTATATTAATTATATCAGTCATAATTTCTTATTTCCTTTTTTTTTTATTAGCATATGAATATAAAGATAGAAAAAATTGATTATTTAATGAAATGCTTGGCACTTAAACCTGTAATTATGAAAAATAGAATTTTTGTACTTAAGGAATTAGGTATAAATTCTATAGAACTAGTTGATATTTACCGGTATGTTACATTTTAAACATTATATTCATAATAATTATATTATATTCATTCATAATAAATATTATATTCATAATAAATTCAAATTTTATTCAAATAATTTCTTTATAATTATAAATTGTAATTTATAATTTATGTTATTATTAATTATGGTTATTTTATATTTTAGATTTCCAACATTAATGAGAAAAAAAGTAAAAACATTTAAAAAAATAAATAATATACCTGCTACAGAAAATATTATAAAAAATATATTTTCTAATACAGGTATAAAAATTGATATTACTACAGATTTAATTAAACTTGAAAATCATATGAAAATAGGCAATTATTATCAAACATGTATGTTATATTATAAAACATTTTATTTAAAATTATATAATCAATCATTTTTTAAAAAATATAGGATGAAATATCGAAGTTTTACAGAAATGTCCAAATTAATAGATATATTGAAACATAGATGTAATTTTGATGAAAAATTTGTAAGTATAAATATTTACAAAAAATTTTTAAAGAAAAATTTTAAGAATATAATATGATATAATATATATCTTGCAGATAATAAAAAATTCATATCTCTTAAATATAGATGTGGATAATGTTGAGAGAATGCTGAATGAATTTAAATATATTAAAATAAAAGAAAAAAGTTTATTTGATTTAATAAATATATATCCTCGTATTCTCTTGTATAATTTAAATGAAGTGAAAGAATTATTAGAGCTTTATAAAACATTAGATATATCATACCAATTTTCTTATATTTGTTTAAAATGTTTATCAGTGAAAAAAGAAAAATTTCTAGAAAGATATAAAGATTTTGAAAATAATATAGAATTAGCTGTATGGTTAAAACATCCACGAATCTTACAATTAATTTATTATTACAAATTAGTCAAGAAGCGTTTATATTATATGAAATATTTAAATTGTATAGACAGTGCAAGTATTCAAATATATTTATCATCAAACGAAGTTTTTTTCAGGTATATATACATATATACATGTATTTATTTTTGATCAAATAGAAAATAAATTTTTAATAATTGCAGAGTAATACATTCAAACCTTTTGATAATAATTTATCTTTTAGATTCATAGAAGGAGAATATCATTTGAAATCTAGAAAAAAGTATTTATTATTCATTTTGCATAAAGAATTGGGAAGAGATGTTGATTTATTACCTATAATTCAAAAACATCCTTATTGGAAATATGTATCTTTGTTAATAATTATTAAATCACTACAATATTTAAAGAAATATTATTCAATAGAAAATATATGTCAAAATATTCATATCATATTGTATCCAAGGTAAATAGATTTTGCTTAAAAATAATAAAATATATTTATTTAAATATAGTATACTATATTATGCGGAATATTAATATATTCGTAAGATATTTTCGGAAAATCAATTCTAAGCATCAAAATAAACATAAAAATTCATATACAACATTTATATAACACTCAATATTATTTTTTTAGATCGAAGATTATTTACACATTGAATTTGTTGTATAAAAAATATCCACAAGAGGAATACAATTCTCATTATTTATCATTATGCTTATACGAATTAGAAAAAAAATATTATTTTAGTGGAGATGGAATTTGGCTAAATGACGTATCAGTTTTTAAATCAAGTATTTTTGAGGATTTATATGAATTTGAATATATAGATAACAATGAAATAAACGATCTAAATGGAGAAGCATGGCTTGAATATTTACTACGATAATAAGTATATTTGAATATATTTATAGAAAAATATATAAAAATATATGTATATTTTTTATTTAATTAAAATATTTTATATATATTTACTACTTTATATTATATTTATTCTATATATATATTAAATATATATAAAATATGGAATATGTAAATTATAATAATAAATTAAATATTTTTAAAAATGAAAAATTTTAATAAACAAAATTTGAACATTACAAAATCAAACTTTATTAATGAATTATATAAAATATTAAAAAACTATATAAAATAAGTTAAAATACTATCTTTTTAAGCACTTTAAAATTTTCCTTAAACTTTAAAATTTGTTTATATGTTTAGAAATATTTAATGATTATGTATATATACTTTATATATTTTATTCTATATTTGTTAATAATAATAAATTTATATATAATATATATATATAATAATATATATTTTTTATTGAAATAAAAAAAAATTATAATATTTTATGTATTTCTGTTTTGAATATTTATTAAAAATTATATTTACATACAATTCCAATGAACAAATTAATGTATGAAATTATAATAAATTGTTATTTATTTAAGACACATCATTGTTAAATGAGTGATTACATATTTTAATTTTTAAGTGCATTTAAATGCAATTATTTTTAAGCATTATAAAAAAAAAATAGAATTCAAAATTTCTGAAATATTCTTGTATAAAATTTTATAAATTCAGATGTCTTATATTTTTTTATATACATGTATATACAGATATGCATATATTTGATATACATTATAAAATACGTAAATAAACTTCTTATTCAATTTTATTTAATAATTTTGAAAAAAGGACAAATAATACAAAAATACTCACATCTCAAACCTACATTTTTAAGGCACTGGAATGCTCTTATTCAATTAATTTTCTAAAATATTTTCTTTTTTTACACGTTTGTTTATTATAACGTATTTTTTTTATTATTTTCTTATTGAAACAAATTAATGATTATTATATTCTTAATATTAAACTTTCCAAGAGAATAATTCCAATTAATTTCATTAATTGTTTAAATCTATATGATACAATATGAAATTGTATTAAAGAGAATCGATATATTTACGATTAATACAAATAAAATTTATAAATAAAAATAAAAAAACTTTCAAAAAACTTTTTTTATTTTTAAAATAAAAAATTATAACTCTAATTAAAACAAAGCCTTCGATTTTATTTTCATTTCAGCTCAAAAAAGAAATTCAAAGATGAAAAATCAGCAAGCATATTCATACGATCTTATTATGAACTTAATATTCCTTTGCCAAGGAAGACTTATTCCAAATCGGAACCACCAGTTGTTCTAGAGCAAATCTAGACCGGAGGTTTCGAGTCAGTTCAGAAAAGGAGGCAACTGCACGTAGTTTTGACTAGTTGGTTCGCTCTTCACCATCACTTGCTCTTTCATTCCTTGACGTCCTTGTGGTGAGTGCATCCCATATTCTTGTTTTTGATCTTGTTGTTGTTGTTGTTGTTGTTGTTGTTGTTGTTGCTGTTGTTGGGTGTAATCAGGTTGTTCGTGCTGATATTTATCCGCTGGACTAAGACCACTGACATAATCCAATTGCTTATTCTGTTGATGTTCTTCTTCGGACATGGAATTGGTCAGATGAGTGGGTGGTGAGTGGGTAGTTACCATAGTCTGATAGTCGTTACGAGTTAGAGGTGGTGGTGGACTGTTACTAGCATTCATGTAGTCCTGGTGCACACGCATTGTATTGCCTGATGGTGAGGAAAATAACGAGGCATCGTGTTGTGGAAGCATTGTCGCGTACGAGTATGCCGATCCGTTGTTGCTTGGCCCACCAAAGGAGGTTGAGTATGGAGAGTTAGACGGGCTAAGTAGATTTAAATGCGGTGCCAAATCGTAAGCTGGAGAATATGCCCAGGCATCCGGTGGTGCTGTCGCTGTTGTCGGCGAGGCGAATGGATTAAGAGTATTGTTCAGTGAAGTAAATGATCCTAATAAAAATATGAGAACGAATTATTTGCATTAGATTTGTAAGAATAAAAGTAATTTTACCAATATTTTTGAAAGTAATTACAGGATATTGAACAATATGTAATATAATTTTAATAATAGAAATCTTTTCTGCAAATTTTATATCTATTTGAAATATAACTAATATTAATTACATCAATATATCTATTGAGATATATACATATGTGTGATTTTTAACATTTAATCAAAAAAATAAAAAAAATCAATAAATTTAATGTTTTTTAAAAATGAAAGAAAGAATTTTGATATTAAAAATAAAGAAATAATGAAAAACAATATAAATTTTAAGTTAGTATTCTTATTGTAATTACCTGATAAACCAGGGCTTGCTGAACCAGCAGCCATACCATAACCAGCAGTTTTACGCGGAGGTTCCCTCTTTCGCCATTTTGCACGCCGGTTTTGAAACCATACTTGAACTCTTGACTCTGATAACGCAAGTTTTAAAGCGAGTTCTTCTCGTGCAAAAACATCAGGATATGGTGCACGTTCGAATGCTCTTTCTAATTCTTCCAATTGATAAGCGGTAAATGTTGTTCTGAAATAATTAGTTTTCGAAATGAAAATAAAATATTTGACAAATGAGAATATGACAATTAAAATTTCAAACTTATTAATTATTCAATAAAATGTGATTATTATTGAAAAATCTAAAATTTATGGCATAATAACAATATTCATTTTTGAAATTAACAATATTCATAATTTGAAATTACAAAAGATAATGAAAGATCAAAAACTTAATTTTAAGTAGATTAAATAATATTTTTTAAATTAATTAAAAAAGAAAATAAAAAAAATAAATAAATACCTAGTTTTCTTCTTTTTGATTCCATTGTTGTCGGTTTTTTTTTTAGAGTCTTTCTTAGCTGGTTGTGGTTCGCTACTAACTGTAAAAATATATTAAATTGAAAACAAAGTTAGAAAATAATATTTGCAAAACAATAATTATAATAATAATAAAATAATAATTTAAAGAAAATTCTGTCAAAAGCAATTAAATAATCTTTAAAATTATCTATATAGAAACAAAATTAAAATGATTAAATATGATATTAAATAATATAATATTATTTAGTAATATATTTAGTAATACAATATATGTTCTGAATTTTTTCTTTTTATTGTATGTACTAATAAATTCTTGTCAAATTATAAATAGATTACAATATTTCTAATAAAGATCCTAATCTTATAAATTTTTTTTATATACAAAATATAATATAATAATTTTTTAAGTCACAAAATATATTAATAAAATTAAAATTAAAATAAAAAAGATTGTGAATAAAATTAAATTTTAATAAACGTATGTTTATAATTCAACAAATATCAAAATGTATCATTATAGGTACTATACATAAAGAAATGGATAATAAAATTGAAAAAAATGTTAAATTAATTTATATCTTAGTTATTTTCATATATAGCAATAATATATCAATATATTTATATTTATTATTTTTACAAATTGATATACTACTATTGATAATTGCTATTATTTTTAATTAATCGATACGAATACGAAGATCCTAATTTTATAAAACTATTTTTTAATGTATAATACTAACCTGGAGCAAGAGTATTCATTGGATCCTCCGGCTTCCTTTTCAAAGCATTTCCAAGCTGAAGGCCCTGTTGCAATGTCGTTGAGGTCGGGGTCGCAGTGGTAGACGTCGAAGTAGTAACATCCTGCGTCTGAGGAAGAGGAGCATACATTCCAGCCAATTCCAATTCTTTCAGCTCTTTCTGTTGTTGCTGTTGTTGTTGCAGATGATGATGAGACGTTTGATGATGAGGCGGTGGACTATTCGAAGAATCTAATTTGTGAAGATGGCCTCCAGTAGGCATTAAATCGCCACCGTGGTGTCCACCATGAAGACCGAGCATCACTTGAATACTGTGAACCCCGGAACCTCCTCGACCGCCGAAATCAGAGAAGATCGGATCATCGAAAGGACCTCCGTCCATTTTTCATTAATCGATATATCCTTTTAGAATTTAAAAATTGATTTATCTTCTAAAAATTCTTTAATTTATATAAAAAATAATTTTAGATTATTCTTCTGATATTAAAAAAAACAAAAGGCAATAAATTCTTCTTCTTTTTAGAATTTTAATAGGCACATGGTTTCACTAGAATCGAGCAAGTAGATTTTCTTCTTCTGTTAATAAATACATAATAACTTTTTCTTTCGATCTTCAATATATATTTGTATTTTTTTTTTTTTTCAACAGTTTCAATTTTCAATCGTAGAGATGTTTCATTTCTTCTTGAATCACAATGAATCGACACAAACTTTTCTTCCTTTCGATCACATATTTCTTCTCTTTTGATGTTTCTTCAATTGTTTCTTCCTTCTTTTAATTTAAAATTTAAAGAGCCCAACAAAAAAATATTTCTTCTTATTATTAATAAAAAATATTTCTTTCTTTTAACCCCCGAATTAAATTCATTTCTTATTCTCGCGTCGTTAGTCCGATTGCAATAAATTACTTAGATCAACGGTGACAATTTCCATTCACTTCCTGCTCTCTTTATTGCTACCGATTCCCTCGGTTTCTTCTTCGCCAAGACCTCCAACAATCCGGCTGGCCAATTATGCAAAAAGGCGCGCGCAGGATGGCGGTTCGCGCGTCCTCCGTAATGGAATCCAAGCCAATTGCGATCAATTGTTGCCCGGGTTATGATTAATTTTGATTAGTTCGAGCTAACGAAGCGAGCCAGCATTGTGTCGTCGACACATGAACAGATTGTAACAGCGAAACCGAATACTTTGGAGGATACTCTTTCTCTCTCTCTAAAGTATATTGAAACGTTGTTAATAAAAAAAAAAGAAGAAAAAAAAAAAAAAAAGAAGATTAATCCAGAAAGATGAGAGAATCTATATTAATCGTCACGGGTTTCCCCAATTTTCTTATCTATCGACAAACGGGTGAGTTGATCGCGCGAAACAACAAGAGCTGCTTAACTAACCAGACACTGTCGCACTAAGCGACGATCCGTTCTGACTCTGGCTAATCAACCGACACTCACACACGCTTATATTTTCAACGGGTTGCCGGTCAGGCCGCCCCCACACATGGAAGCCAACCAATCCTGTAGCACCTACTATGCCATACGTGCTCCATGAGAGGACAGCCGTTTTATGCGGGCGCGGTATGCTGTGCCTCCTGTTTTTCTTCCTCTTTCTTTCTCTTTTTCTCCCTTTTCATTCTGCACAAGATTCATCTCTGTTTTTAATCTCCTTGCACACACACACACACAGAGAGAGAGAGAGAGAGAATTTATTCTCCACCCCTCTTCTCCTACTCTTCTTTTACTTCTTCCTTTTTCTTTCTTTTCTTTACCTCTGCTATGTTACCAACCACTTCGTGATTCTTCATTGCATCGGGTATATATATATATATATATATATATATATATGTGTATGTATGTATGTATGTATGTATGTATGTATATATGTATGTATGTGTGTATGTAGAGAGAAAGACAGAGAAAAGTGTTCATTGATCTTCTTCGTTGATGTCTCTGTCGGGTTTCTCGTTGGTCTCGTGGCTATGCCACAACCACATCATTGCGACCGCCCCCGATGATTGGAGAACACCGCCTCAGTTCATAGTGTGCTTTAGATAACATTTTTAACGAGTATGGAGGGGTATGTGGGAATTGGAGCGGGTTGGGTTGTGCACGATCAAGAGATGTGGTGATGGGAAATTGTGCATCGGAGGCTTCCACTTCGACTATGGACCTCTTGCGCTTGACCTAATGCGACCCCGATATTTCTTGGAACGAAGATCATGGCGGAGAGAATAATGGACTCTTGATCGCTATTTAAAGGACAAAAAGGTGGTTTTGGGAGAAATTTAATTTTAATCATTAATTATGGTATTATGATTTTTGACTTATTTAACTTAGATTCGAATTTTTTTAAATTTTAGATTTTAATTTTAATTTTTATCTTTTATATTTTTATATGATAAATGTTGTTGATATATATTCATCGACTGATTAAAATTTTTACGCACATGAATTTTTGCACATTCATATTTATAATTCAACAATATCAAATGAAAATTAATAATAATTTTAGAATTTGAATAATAATTTATTACATCTTTTATTAATTTTAATTTTAATTTTTAAATTTCAAAGAAATAAATGGATTTTTTTATTTAATTATGTTTCTTATTTTAGTTGATATTTTTTAAAATTCAGATTTTGTAAAAACTAATGAAATATTTAAATACTTAGATTGTAATATTCTTATTTATTATACTAGTATAATTTTTCGTAAAAAATTAAATTCTCTTAGAAAAAATAGTTTTTATGAAAATTTTTTTAATTTAATTTAAACAATGTGAAATAATAATATAAAATATAATAGAATTTAAATTTATTACAAAATGTGTTACAGTTTTACGCAGAAAACTGGATTAGTTCATACTATATGTATTCTGGAACATGACGTTATTTGCAGTATAATTTCTGCAGTATCGAATTATTTAGACTATATTTATTACTAAAGATATGCAGAATCTACATTCTAATTTTTATCGCTATGATTATGGATTATAAATTATAGGAAATTTGTCCATAATTAATTAAAGTAAAGAAACGAATAACTATAGAATAAATATAATTCATAATCAATGATTAACATATATTATTAATAATTGTAATATAATAATATAATTATATTTATATTTCTTCAAATTAAAAAAAAAAGCAATCCCAAAATATTCAAATTCAATTTCATATTAAAACATAATTAATACTTTACCTGAAAATTTAATTTTACTTGAATTAAATTTTACGCTTTATAATAATCTCATAATCCGTTCAATTCATCTTGAATATCACACACTATCAATTTGTAATCAATCTGTTCAACTTCCACAAATTCCACATTATTTTCATTCTAATCTCAGTCACATCAAATATATCCGTATTAGCTATCCATTTCATATCTGTTCGTTCGCAGAAGTCCTTGAACTGAAACCTTGAACCTCGATTAAACGATTCGAGAGATCACATAGCGCTCTCAGTGATGATCGACGTGCATTCATCGCGTCACAGGTCCTGTACCAAATGCACAATAATTTCATCGCGTCCCATGCACTACCAACGAATTCAAATCATCCCGAAATTTTAACCGTCATATGTTCGAATTATCCGCAAGATTATCCCTCTTCCGGTATCCACTTTAGACGAGATAAGAAATCGAACGGAATTATCGATCGATTCATAAGAAGACGATCGATCGGAAGAATGAGAAAGGTAAGAGTTCCTATACTTTCGAAGAGATCCATGTCCGTTGACCGGCAGCGTGGCACTGAGCTCTTAAGCGCAGGCTCAATGAAACCAGCAATCGCCAGGAATTGCCTCGAATTGGCCCAATCAAACTACCCCCATTCCGTGTGTACACGCGTATATTAACTGCTAATTTCATCGACAGTAATTAGCGCGCACGAGCGCGCGCCTGTCACGCGCTGATTTAATTGCACTCTCGCGGACACTCTCTTTACTTCCTCCCCCACCAGTCTTGTGGTGCATCTTTTCCGTTTCTCCGCTTGGAACCGATCGCGCCACCGTTCTCCCAACTAGCCTTCTTGTTTTGGTCGAATCTAATGAGTTTGTTTATCACATTGACGAACTCACGATTAACTAGTGAATAGATGAAAATAACAGAAAGAAAACATCAATTTAATCGAACAGGTAAGAGAGATCTTTTAAAAAGATTTAGAGAAATTTAGATGAAATTTATGATTCTTTATTAGGATAAATTATAGGTTAGAGATAAATTTGTAAGAATTGTATAATTAGAAATTGAATTTAATATTTTATTTTTGTTATTTATTGGATGAGCAATTTCTTATTCTATTTTTAAATGTTTATTAGATAAAGTGTTCATAAATGGCTAATTTAAATTTCATTTTTCAGACAGAAATTATATATTTTATACATAATTTGATTAATATAAAAGGTACATAGAATATAAAACATAAAGAATAAAAACCATCCAATAATATAATTTTATAACTTCTATTCCAATTTCCATATAAATTATATTATTATAATTTTTGGTGATATTTTATGATGTAAGCATATTAATGTAAGCAATCATCTTTATTGCCATAATATATATTCTTATATATTCTTAATTCAAACCTAACCTTAAACCAAATTGAATTTATCGAGCAAGTAACAGACTCTAAGATTCTTTAATTTTATTTGTATCGAGATTTAACTGACCCAATTAGCCTCTAATGAAACTGAAGACGAGTGGATGCGGGTGAATGCGTGCGCGCATGCTTGCAGGATATCCGCGGATGCAGGAGGCAGCCGGCTGGGAGGATGACGGCGAGCGCGCAAGAGCGAGAAGTCGGTAACTTAACTGGCCTAAATGGGTTTAACTCGATGTGATTTTGCTGGCGAACCACTAAATTGAACGAATACGAACTAAACTGAACTCAACTAAGCTAATCATATCACATTACTAGCGTTATTAGCCGAGAGACGATATAAGTGAAGGTCCGGTGGTACCAGGCTGCAGTAACGGGTCGCCTCCTGCACTGACCCTCTGTACGACTTTCTTTTCGACCTCTTTTTCTCGATCATGATCTTCGTGTCTTGTATTTATTCGATCTTTGAATTACGGAAATGTGTTTACGGTCAAGTTTTATTACAGTTGATTCCAAAACAACTTTTAGGTTAGTTCTTATGAAAGTTGGATGTAAGTTGAAGTTTCTTGAAGGAAATAGACAATTCTCGATGCACACGAGGTCTGGGAAACGATGTTGGCCGATCCTGGCCGAACAGAAACGCTATCATGGTCGTGAAACAGGAAACACGTGCTCTGAGTGAAAGTGACAGATCACCGCGCGCCAAATTCGAAATAAAGATCAAAGAATCATATACGATTTTCGATTTATAGTGTCATTCGTGAGAGTAAAATGTAACATTTTAAAAAATGTGATAGAAAGAATTTTTTCTTATTAAGAATTCTATATAGTGAAATATATGGTGAATAAGTGATATAGTTTATCTTCAAAAGGAATTTGATTTATTTTTCTGGTATAAATTGCAGAACTATTTTTAATATACATATATAATGTGTATAATTATAATAATCGTATATGGATTTTAAGTTCAAATTTATTTAATTTTATTAAATGTAATTAAATTAAATCAGTGATGAAATTATAATTTTTTAAAGATTTTTTTATTTAATTAAAATTATTATATTATATACTTATAAATATTATAAAATCATATATTAATTTTTTTTAGATTTATGCTTACATTTATTACATATATTATGGATATTTTTTATATTCTTACATTTTTGAAGACAATATAAAATTAAAATCTTTGCAAGTATCAATGTAATCCAAATAATAAAAAACTTCTTATGATATTAAATTGTATTTAATACTCGATATTCATAAAGCAATTCAAAATATTGAATCAAGAAGTCATCATTATTATATAACAATAAATTTTCATTGAATAAGAAAATACATGTATTCTGTAATAAAAAAACTACAAGATTTAATATATAAGATAAGCAGAAGATAGATGGAAAGTGGGGGATATTGATAGCAAAAGAAAGAAAAAATAGAATAATTATCTCCCACCAACCATTTCATTGGTAACTAGAGAGGGGAAGAAACCTGGAGGAAAGATAAGAACGAAGTAGATACGATACGTTCCTCTCCCACTACCTCCACTAGCAGAATAGAAGGAGTTCCTCGGCTCCACCTCTTCCCCTTCCGATGGTATTCTCTTTCAATAGTAGAGAACGTTGTAACTTCCATCTTACCACTATTCCACCCCATAAATAATTCATTATTTACATTTTTCGTACATCAATTTTTCAACAATTGTTCAATTTGTTCAATTTTTCAATTTTTATGAAATCTATTTTTTAAAATTAATTAATTAATTAATTTAAATCTAATTTTATTTATTCAAAATCAAGCAAATATAATATACTTCAAACATTTCAAATATTAATTTATTATTGTAATGTAATTTTTACTTTTTGAATTTAAAATCTAATAATTCCTTTCCTCACTTTTCCTTATTTTATTTTATTTTTTCTTTTAGAATAAAGAAAACACATAGAATATTTCCATACCATGTATATCTATAAATTTATATATCTTTAATATATCTATAAATTTTTATGCGGAGAATGGAGCAAGTTGATAGAAACCAGACAAAGAAAGGAAAGATATTCTCGTTGAAAAGTATATTTAGATCGAGCGACAGAAGGAAACGAGATGAAGAGGAGAGGGACTATCCGAGCGACTTTTTGCACGCGAGCCTCTTTTTTTTTACGTCGTAGGTATGCCGACCGGATAGTATTGCCGTGTGGCCAGGCTGACAGGGCCGACCAATTGAGCCTGTTAACGTCAATTGGTCTAAATTAGTTCAATTGGACGTAATTGCGCGAATACGACGGGGAACCTCCGCTCTCTGTTTGCCAGCCATGCTTGCGTTTCTCTCTTCACGCTGATATCGCTGTATTCTCGGGACTTCCTCCAGGGTACAGTCTGCAATATATAACTACTCGAATAGTCGAATAATATTTTATGAGACTGATTTGATACGTAAATTGTTTAAAATACTTAATTGAATATGATCTTATGTGAAAATTAGATTTTATAATACAAATTATTGAAAGAATGGTTTTGCTAATATTTTTAATAAATTATTTATTTCAATTTATATTATGTTATGTTTGAAAAAATTTCAAAATTAAAAATATTATTTCTTACAACTTGAATTTTAAAAATTATAATTATAAATTATAACTCTTGTTTACATCAACGGAGTACCAGAGTATCTATTTTCTTTAACAATTTTTCACAATATAATATAATATAAATTTTTCGAAATATTGCAAATTGCTTCGGATTCCTAATCTATGAATATTTTTATATCGATTCATATTTTTTACAAAAAAAATTTATATTAAAAATTTTGAAGAAGTTAAGTTTCAATTTTATTTAATATTATTACACATTTGTTGTATAATATGACTTCTTATAAAATTACAAATCTTTGCTTTCTTATAAAATTAATAAAATTGGATAAATTTATTACTATAAATTTAATCGATTATTTCGATCGATTCAACGAAAATAAAATCATCCTCATACAGAGAATTTCCATCATAATCATTTATTGTAATGTAATTTTTACTTTTTGAAAATCTAATTTTTAAAATCTAATAATTTCTTTCCTCACTTTTTCTTCCTCAGTTTTCCAAGTTTCCCTTAAACCATAGAAATTACAATAATGTCAGGATAATGTTTGTTAGAGAAGACAATTATGACAATCGTAGTTTATGAATTAACGTGCCCACATGACCGTCGCGAGATTCTTATTGTGATCGAGATCACAATAAACGTTTCTTTTTTTTTTTCACCCTCATGGAAACGTTGGCGAGCAAGCAACAGTCCCTCAGTAGTTAGGGCATCATCAGTATTAGTCATTTTATATCATGCTGGTACATTTCACGCGTCAAAGCGTAGGAAGATGACCAACGATGAAAACTTGCCGTATTTCGAGGAATACTGGTAGACGATACAAAGAGCTTGGAAATTTTCGATATACACATTCTCTATTCAAAATCCTTATATGATTCTACCTGAGATTTGATTCAAACTGAATTCCTCTTTTCAGATCTGGATACAACCACGTGGGTTCAATGTATGCAACAGGTGTATTTGATCCGCGTGAGACACCTGTGGAATAGATATATAGATTAAAAGAGAAGGTGCAAGTGAAAAATTAGAAGAAAAGAGAAAAATGGAATGATTGAAGATTATTCATATCAATCTTTTATATAATAATGAACGAGAGATTTAAGGTTACTTTAAACGGTTATTAAAAAAAATTATAAAGCAAGAAATTAGCCAAGAGAATAGAATTAATGATGTAAAGTGATATGTAAAGAATGTAGAATTATATATAATTAAATTAAGTGGTTGAAGAGGGTAAGATTTGAGAATTGAAGGGTGAAGAACGAGCTAAATTAGATTATTAATAAATGGGATGAAGATATTATAAAGGGTCGAATTTGAAAGTTAAGGGGAATGAAATATATACTGTAGGAAATTGATTAGATTATTAATTATAAGATTTAAAAAGGTAATCTTTGAAAATTGAAAAATATAGAATATATATTAAAAAATTAGATAATTTAGATTATTAATAATCAAATTAATTTTCCAACTTTTATTTGATAGTATATTATTTAATGATAATAAAGTACAAAAATATATATTATATATCTATAATAAAATATTAAATTAAAATAAGAATAAATGAAAAATTATATATAATAAAAATTATAACATTACAATAATTCAAACAAAGTAATATCACTAAACTGATTAGAATAAAATGAAGTATTTAAATGAAGTATTAGAGAATATTATATTACATAAAAAATTATAAAATCGATACATATAAAATTATGAAAATCGAATAAATATATAAGAAAAATAATATAAGATCACAAAATTGATTAGAGTAAAATAAAGTAATATTATAGAATAACATGAGCTAGAATTTGTGATATGATGTTGAGATTTTTCTTAAATTGTTTTTAATAGAAACAAAAATTAAGCTATCATTTAATTGCACTTTTAGATTCGGAAATCGTGATTCAAAAGAGAAAATGTAACATCGCAGCCCGATGACGTCGCATCCTTATTAACCCGACGTAGTCACATCCGTCGTCATCCCGTTCTGTATTCACGTGCAGGGTGTTTCTCGTAATGATATCTTCATTTATGTATTGAAATTATTCTATAAAATTCTATTAAATTATGTATTTCATATTAAAATTTTCTAATATAATGATACATATATGATATTTGAATAAATTTTTTTTATATAAATAATATATATAAAAATAAATAATAATATATATAAAATAAAAAAATGGGAGTTTAAAAAATCTAATGTTTTTTCTAGCTAGATATTAATTGCACTTTCTTTTTCAAAAGACTTATTATATTTTAATAAAATTTCCCTAAAATAAATACAATTTACAAATACAATTTTTAATATTTCTACAAATGAGGTTAAATACAATAATAAGATATGATAAATAAATATAAATTTATTATATTTCCATATTGTATTAAACTCTTCAAAGCAATGGACAAAAGAACGGATTGAATATCAAAGCATAGATTCTCATGAGAAACGAATCCAAACATTTCTTCGATCAAAAGGTAGTTCACATCAGACGAGTAATTAATCGAGGACTATGCCCTCATATTTCGTGAGAACGAGAAATTCGGATTCTGATATACGCTACGAGAAGGGGCTAAAAACGCAGTCTATATCATCCCGCATAAGATCATCTACTTATATACAATAATATAACAGGACTGCGGGTGGGAATTTACGAGGACGTTTTTAGATCTGATTACACAGAATTTTGGGTGCAAAGGAACGGAAAACTGCGCCCATATCCAGAAATGTGGCATAAGAATAACATGACTAATCTCCCCTGAAATCGATTTCGAATACAACATCGAAATAGAATAAAATGAAATGTGGATTTGGGAAACGAGAATTTATTTTATTTACGATAAATTCAATTTATATATACGATAGAAATTATGAAATTTTCTAAAATTTTAGATAAAATTTTATAACTTTCATGATTTATGCATAAATATAATTTTATATAAATATTATAATTTCTATATGACAGTAATAATATTTTTTTTATCAAGTAATATAATTGGTAAATTGCTCTTAAAATATTAATTAAAAGTAACAATAGTCGAGTACTCTGTAAAATTGTTTTCTCAAGTTTCTTCGAGTACCTATTTTGTATCCCATATATAAACCATATGTTTTTACGTATGATCATGCTGGTGAAGATGACTCTTCCTGACACGCGACCCGCAGCTATCCTAAATACTTAATTGTCAATTCGATTTCACAGAGAGAACGATTTTCATGGAATTTTCCTCTCCAGAATTTTCCCTTCCGATTTTTATATAACGAAATTAATGATATTCTTATAATTATATAAAATAAAGTTATTAAAAATCATTACGTTAGATTAATTAAAAGTACTAATAAAACTTAAATATTTAAAATGATACAAAATTTGATTTTTATAGATAAATGTTTATTAATTTATTAAATTTTTCAATCTTTATATTTTTAATATTTTAATGTTAAGATAACATTATTTCTTTAATATTAATTGTAATTATAATGTTAATCATTAATAATTATTAAAATTTATATAATTTATGAATTAATTATATATTTATAGTTTTTATTTTAAGATTTTTTATTCAAGAATATGTTATATGAAGAACTCTATGTTATCAACTTTGGTGCAGTAAAATGATCTGTAGAGACATCTGTCGATATTTCTCGAAGTATCATGTACTTTCAAGATGCATGATAAGATTGTATCGAACTTATTTTCAAAATTGGATGCATCAATGCTTTCAATTGAATAACAATCTTGGTTAATTCTTTGCTTAAATTAAATGATTTGAAATAATTCATACAATTAGTATTAAAGCTTTTATTCAATTTAAATTAATTGTGAAAATGTTATTATACAGATTATAAAACAAAAAAACTTAAAATTTTGATTAATTAGTATAAAAAATTAAAAACAAATAAATTTTTTTCTGAAAAAATTAAAATTAAAAATATATTATATTATATTATATTATAATATATTATATATTAGTAATGTATAATCCATTATCATTAATTTTATTTCATGAAAAGTTTTAATTTTAACAAATTATATAATAAATTAACACACAAATATACATCTTTAATATAATATATCTCAGCAAATGAAATATGTATTATATAAATAATAGTTAATATTTAAATCGACAAATTTAAATTTATTCGTGAGAATAAAGTTCTCTGAACACTTGTGGAATTAGTTGAACAGGGAGAAATAAAATGCAATTATCCCTAATGAATATGAGAGATACAACAAAATAAAAGAAGCATGGTGCATTCTCTACAGATGAAACTTTGACTCGTCTTACAGACCATCACAAAACATATTTTTTTCAATTTATCATTTGAAAAAAATATTTTTTCTTTTCCAAGAAATATTATTCAAAGAATAATATTCTTTTTTAAGAAAACTATGAATACAAATGTAATATTTCTAGGAAAAAAAAAATGGTAATATAAAATAGTAAATTGTGAATCTTAAAATACACAAGAGTTTCAAGATCTTTACTTAGAAGGCAGTATAATATTTATTTACAATTCCTTTTTTAAGTTATTTTACCTCGTCTTAAAATCATTATTAATCATTAATTTAAATATAATTTTAATTAGTTTATCTCTGTTTTCTATAATTTAACATATTTATCGTTCCTATCCCAGAACCTTGAAGCTTCAGCTAAAAATACATCAGTTTTCGCGGGTGGCAAAGACGAAAGCAGTCGGGGAAAGACGAGCTTTCTTTGAATCGAAAGAGGAAGAGTAGCGGAGTATGTCCGCCCAACAACAGCGAATCCTCAAGCTCGAAAATAGATCGCATAGTTTTCCCGGTACTTCCAATGCGGTGTATCGTAATAGGCAAGCTAACTGCTTGCCGAATGTTGTTGGCCATGGACAATTAAACGTTTATAAACACCGGAGATTCCGCAAAACCTGGCCCTCTCATGATTTGGCGTGCTTAGACGAAGGAGCAACACCCAAGGCTGTAATAAAATTTATATTAAATTTTAAACTCACGATAAAAACTGAAGAACAAAAATTGAGATTTCACGTAAGTATGCGTAGATCATGATTATGAAAATAGATTTTTGAAATATATAAATATACAGTTTATTTTGCAATTAAGATTTTCTCTGAAATGATAAATACATAAAAAAATAATATCTTCAAATTTTTTAGTATTTGTTTATGCAAATATTTCAGTCTTCTGATATTTATTTCAATTTTCCTCCAATTCTCACTCAGATCTAATTATGTAAAAATTAGATAAATAATTGACAATAGTTTTCTTTTTTTAAATGTAAGAAATATATAAAAATTTACAGGAATTATTAATAATGTAATCTAGAGTTATTCAATCATATGATTCAAATATATAAAATGCATGAATAAATGCTTTGAATATATGAACATGCAATAAAATTTTAAGCAGCGGTTTCTGATTATTTTGAGCGACGTACGATCGCGAAATGTAAACTTTCAAAGCATTTGAAACGATGGAAAAATAAGCTTCTAGATTTATGCTGCTATTTATCTTGTTTCTTTTTGGTTTAAAAAGTTGGAGAGTTTTATTTTGTACATTAATGAGATTTATCAAGTGTTTTTTGAAGATACAAAAAGTGTCTTAGTATAATAATTGGATGATAATAATGCATATATTTACAAATGTAATTTCAAATGATGATGTAATCTTTTATAAAATATATTTGAAATAGGGAGAATTGTTTATGTTAAATTTTTTAGATTATTCTATTGAATAATCTTTTTTATTTGAAAAAAAATTCTTGTTTGAAAAAGATTAAAATTTCATTACATTATTATAGATAGATATCACAATTCTGTTGATGACTGGTATGGTAACAAAGGCTCATAAACTAACAAATCATCATCATTTAGCAGTTCTTACAAGAACCAATGACGTAATGCACATGTGCGAGTTAACGATTTTTCGAAGTCGTTTCAACTTGTTATAAGCTTTCTAACTAGTACAAAAATAATATTATGCACGTACATTTATTACGTTCTTTATTTTGAATGTTTTTTAAAAAAACTCCTTAACTTTTACATATTACAGTTTCATATAAGAATGTAAAAACAAAGAAATATATTATATTTTATTACAAATATTTTTTTTAACAAAAAAAAGAAATTAAAAAAGAAATAAATATATTTACTATAATAATTTCTATAAAATTATTAAAAGATAAATTATCGAAAGAATAATTATTTAATAAATATTAAATAAATTATTCGTTTAAAGAAGATTTAAGAGATTAATAAGTAATAATATTTTTTTTATTCAAAAAACAAAAAAAAAATTATGAATTATTCTTTAAAAAATAATTTAATTAAAAATCTTACAGTTTGAAAATTATTTTTCTTATCATAAAAATTTTTTTAATTCAAAAACAACTTGCCAAAATTTATCGAAAAATTTCAAAGTAATCAAAGAGAAAGATCAAGAATTTTTATCACAAGATAGAAAACATTTGCTTAAACTTTCGAATCTTATCGAAAGATAAAAAAAAAAAAATACGAAATGATAAGTGACGATTACACTTGTCGATTAAATATGTGAAAAATTAATTCCTTTAATTTCTATCTTAACCATGTTCTTCGCAATCTACTAGCATGATTCGAAAAGAAAGAATATAAAAACATCTCCATCCATCATTGTTAGATGAATCTTTCCATTATCCTTTATATCTCTCCTTTTCGTCAATCTTTTTTAAATATTAAATAATAAAAAAATTAATTTTTAAATTTTTAAACGCTGCAATTGTGCAAGCCTTAATCGCAGAAATAAAACCTTGCGATATCAAGTTCCTTGGCTGATTCTCAAGGAGTCAACGTTTCGTCCCATCCTCCGGTATCGAAATTTTGTTAGCGAAGGAAAAGAAAGAAAAATTCACGGGATAGTAGTTTACGCAGGTAGACAGGATGGAGCTCCAATTGGCAAGAAATTCTGGCACGATTTTAGAATGGTCGACGTAGTCGATTTCACGGCCACTGCTGCAGCGAGGGAGCGATGTCTTAAAAGAGATGATATCCCTTGCGACATAAATGCTTTAAAGCAGTGATTCCCAATATATTTCTGAGGTAAACTCCCTTTTATAACAGCTGAATAAATATCTTTCTTATTGCAATTAAATAAACACGCATTTTTAATAAGACAAAATATCTGAATATAAAAATTTCACTTTTAGAGATATATTTACATACACAGGTGAAAATGAGAAAGAAATATGAAAAATGTAAAATGAATGTTTAGTATTTGTTTCAATATCTGCTATAATAGATGATAAATCACTTCTGTTTTTTTGTAGGTATACCAAAATAAATAAATATTAAAAATTTTTCATTATAAAATTTTCTATATAAATAATTGGAAATAGAAGTAATTGTGATGGTTATCTTGGGAGTTGCGATCCACAGTTTGAAAATCCATGTTGTAATTGTATTGCAGCCAATTACTAGGTATATATAAAAATATAGCAACTATATTCAAATACTTATGAGATTTCTTGTTATCCTATTGATCTAATATATACTGGTATACAGAAAATTATTTAATTAATTAATTAATAATTTTAATAATTAATTAATTATCATTATTAATATAAATAAATAATTAATTTAGTATTATTTATCATTCGTAATTTTCATTTGTAATTTGAATGAAATTTGGATTTGGAAAAAATGTATTTATTTCTGATATACATTATGATTTATTAAATTTTTTTAAAAATGGAAAGAAATATATTTTTGGTATTTTTTACAATATTTTAAAAATCAAAAATTATAATTGTCAATAAATCAATCAAAATTATTTGAAATATATATAAATTATATAATTTATAGATGTGTATTCGTATCAAAATATGTAATTAACAAAGGAATTAATATAACATTAATTATTTATATCCATCGTATGTATCTTATTAAAACCTAGATTATTTATTTTAAAAATTCAAAATTTTATTTTAAATTTTGATCAGAATTATCTATTTAATTTGCCTTCGATTTTCTAAAATTTTAATATAAAGAAAATTGAAAAGTAATTCTATAAAATGATATATTAAAAATATATAGTTTTATAGTGGAATTGCATGTCCGACTATACCGGTTAAGAAGATTTATATTTACTGTGCTATATGTGCAGCAATGAAGGATAAAAAACAATACATAGAGAAACAATTCGAGGATTTTGTCGTTTAACCCTCGTGTATTTCAGTCCCAGCACCAGCAGGGCCCTTCAGCTTTTGCGTCCCGTCGACTTAGCGAAATTCCTCGCTAAATTTAAGCCCTGCTCGACTGCTAAGATAATTGCGTTTTGCGTAAGAGATATACAGTCTTTTGAGGTAATGGATTGAGTACATATGCATCGTCGATTATTTGTGAACTTTTCATCAAGATAATATATATACGTATTTAACTTGGTTTGTTTAATGATTTTACTAAGGCTTTGATAAAGATATATTCAATGACAAGTTGTGAATGATAATCTTAAGAATAATTCAAGTGTAATATTATATTTTTTTTTCTTTAATTGGAAAACTGAAAAAAATTTTTTTTTTTTTGATTCAATTTTGCATTCTTTCAAAAGTTGAATTTTAAATATAATTTTATTTTTTTAAGATAAAAATTTAAATTTCACTATTACATTTTGATTTTAATTAGTTGGATTTTAAGTGAAAAATAATATAATAAAGCATAATATTATGTTTAATTAAAAAACAAATATTAAATTCAATATTTCTTTTTTATAATAGTTATATTATATATTTTTATAATAGTTATATTATAAAATCTAATTAAATTTAAGATGCATAAGATTACTACATAATTATTATTGATTATATAATTATTATTAACAAAGCCGATGAAAAAATTAACGTTAAGTAGAATTTCTTTCAACTATACTTTGTGTCTATCAACAGTGACAAGCTTGTTAGGATTTGCTCAATGATGCGCTTAATTGCCTACTAGCTAATTTCATTGGCTATGTATCAACTCGACCTCATCAATTGATTTGAATGAGTTCACCAAGTTGTCGTAGACAGATTTAAGAGTAAAATTAAAATGTTTTTATACTTTCTTAAAAATTAATTTAAATAAAAAGAGATGAGTAAATATTATAAATATATTTAAAATTTAAAAAATTGTTTAAATTATTTTCGAGTTTCAGTCTTTTGTTCCAAGATTAAACAAGTTTATATTTTTAAGAGTTTTTTAAAAATTATGATTGTTGCTTGAATTTTTTATTTTCATTTTATTTTTTTCATTTTCCAAATTATCCTAATATTTCTTTCACTTTTTAAATTATTAATATAAAATATGCTATAATAAAAACATATAAAGAAGATTTATTAGTCATTTTTACATAATAATCTTATCTAATACCATAAAAAATTTTTACGTGTCAATCATCACAGTTTTTACGAGGCTTCATTTCATTAAAATGTGAAGTTTTAAGTTTTAACTATTTTAAGTTGTGCAAACTTATAAAATATTCATTATCACGATTTATATTATCATGAATTTAATAATTATTTTTTAGTATTAAAGAAAAATAAAGATTTTTTTAGAATAATTTTAACATATTTATTCTCTATATATTTCTTTTACTACATCACACTAAAATTATTTATTTTCAATATTAACATATCAGTGTTACTTCTATCTAATGAAAATGAAAAGAATAATCAAACAGTGAAATTGCCTGAAACTCTCATTAAGAAGAATGTTAACTATCTCCAAATAGGAATTATTACATACACTATTGAAGCATTAATATTAATTCAGCGAAAACGATAAAAGATCGCGGCGAAAGATCGATAAGGAAGCGGTCTGGTTGATGTTTTCCTCGTTCGAAGTGCCAGCGAATAATCTTGGCGCGACCAGCCGTTTTTCTACGGAAAACAAGTATATCTGGCATGGCAAAATTGTCGACCAACATTATGTAATAAACAAGCAAGGTGGCCATCAGCGGTAACTGATCTCCTCGTGGCGTACGTGTCGAAATTACGAAAGAAGCAGTGGTGCTCGACCAATTCTGAGACATTGACATTGAGAACTGCCCTTAGTCAATGGAATCAAAAACCAGTATTTTCAATCAGTATTCATACTTATGAGACAAAGGATTTTTAGTTTTGTTTTCCATTCTATTTCTTCATTTTTCATTCTTCCATTTCTTGTAAAAATAGTTTTTTTTTTTCTAATAGTTGCTGATGTCAAGCATCGAAAAACTGGATGAGAAATCTTTGTCATACTTGGTGCCAGTCACGCGATAAATTGTAAGTCTCTTGAGGCAGCTTAGCGATTTAACATGGTTATTGTGGTATTTAATGCCCGATTTCTATGACTGCGATCCAAGTAGCAATTTTTAATTTTATATATATGTGTAATTTTCTTTAAGAAAAATAATACGAATATATATATTATATATATATTATATATATTACATATTGATAAGATAATGGATATTTGTATTGTAATTATAGCCTAGAACGTTTAGAAAATGAAACTAGAATATCAAGTTCCTATGCACATTAAAAGAATGGTATAACGTATATTCAATGTGGATATTAATAATTTACGTAATTGAGACTTGTAACATAATATTTACAGTTATAGTTTGTAATGCAATAATACGATTAGATGAGAAAAGTATAAGAAGAGTATTTATATTAGAGATATTTTATAAATACCAAGGTCATTTTATAAATTTCAAGGTCATCAATGGCTTTTTTAAATAATATTATATCTTATTTTTTGTTAGTTTATTAGTCTTATTTTTTTTTAATTTTTTCCTTTTATTTTTTTTGTATTATATCGTATTATATGTATTTTTATTTCTTATCAAAATTTGAAAATACGAATACTACAATAAAAATTATATTAATATTTGATATAATTTTTTTATACATTTATATATTTATGTATTATATATTTTGTATTCAATAATAGTACTGCATTAATATTTTCATTTTACTAATTTTTACATTAATATTAAATTTTAAAATCCATTCTAAAATTTTTTTCAATATCATATTACAATTATTATCATATTGGCACTTATTGAAGGTGAACAAATAAACATGAAAAGCGAAATCTTGATTTCTAATCTTTATCACGCCAATAAAACTATATATATCTATCCAATATCAATTTCTATTACTTTGTCAATTTTAAAGTTTGATTGTCAATTTTAAAGTTTTATCATCATATGTTTAATTTCTTTAAATAATTTAATTAATAATCAATAAAATAATAAATATTAATTTTAAAAGAATTTTAAAATTAAAATTTATAATATATAATTATATATATTTTAATTTTGATAAAACGAATTATCCATAGGAGCTAAATGAAAGAGACAGGTTCTCGTTAAACCATAACTGTGGAAACGGCATAAAACACTTCTCAGGATAAAAATAACGGACGAGGAAAAGTAATTTCCTCCCGGCCATTGACGCAACTTTCCTCATCAACCCAGCCAGACTGGCCAACTCAAAGCATTACATAATTCTTCTAATAACGATAATGTGTTATATTGGTGAGATAGAATTTTTAGAATATTTTTAATAATAATCCCAATGCAAAGTTGTCTTCATTTTTTGTTTCAATTTCAATCGGTAACTTTCTTGTTGAAGCCGTTGTTGCTAATTATATGTATACGTTCCTCGAACACAATAATCGTTCCTTGAAACCGATCGATTTTCAGACATATCGATTACGGATAATAAGTTTCCATGTTGGCCGCCATTGACTGACATTGACTGGAAAGTGAAATCAGAAGAAGAAGTGAAACTTATTTAAAAATATATTCTCTAATTCTAATGACCAATTTATCAAAAATTAAATTATATATATAGTATATTTAATTCTAATAAAGATATTGATAACAGCTGATTGGTTTATTAACATAAAAAATAATTAAATTAGTCAAAATTATATATGTAATTTTAAAAAATTTTAAGAATGTTAATTTTCCAAGTTTATCTTTAATAGAAAACAAAGAATCTCATTTAATAAATATTAATTGTATTTCTATTGAATATTTATATTCTTAAGATGAATTTATGACTGAAAATCATATATAATTTAATAATTTTAAAACATATATCATAATTAAAAGAAAGATTTAAAAAATCTTATATATATTCTTACATATCAAAGAAAAACAGAGAGATTGTGCATCACACTAAATCTTCCAAAATGTGATCATTATGTTAAACACTTATTCAAATAAACATCTCTATAACAATTCATCTTATTAAATTATCATTATTAAATTATCATATTAATTATATCCTTATTAAATTATCATATTAAAAATCTATAGTTATTCAATTCATGCTAGTCTATTATAACTGAATATCTGAAACTTAGAAAAACATTGTATTGTAAAAGATAATTTTAACAAATTAGCAATTTAAAAGGAAGAAAATAGTTAATAAATTTACGAAGGATTATAATTATATTAGATTTCATAGATTAGAAAATTATGATAAATTGGTTGCCTTATAAGGAGAAAAATTTGATAGATTTAAGGAGAAGGATCATTTTAGACATTCCCATTGGCCCGATAGGGAAGGTAGGTATGTAGGTTTCGTATTGATCTCCACGTTGCGGCGACCTTTAATATCCCCTCTCTTCTAACTTCTAGCCTGTTGGATGAAATGAGAGGAATAGAGCAACGAGGGAAGTCGAGGGGAGTCCTGAACGCGACCTACAACAAGCACCGACAGGCGCACAGCTGATTTCGTAACGACTAAGCGACACTCCCGGAGTTTCACCGTTCTCCGGAAACGTTCAGTGATCTATATATTCTAGGAAATTCAGGGAACAATACGGAAACGGACTGACTGCATAACTGTAAAATATTCTGAAAGTTCAGCATAAACAATGTACAAATATTGAATATTTTACAAACAAAAATCTCTGAATCAGAATCAATAAATTTTATATTTAAAGTATTTAAAAATTATTATATTCTAATATAATTTTATATAAAATTTATTCGTTTCAAATTTAAGAAACTTAAAAAAAATTGCATTTTTTTGAACAAATTAAATGTTTCGCCGGAATTTTAAAGAAAAAAAAAATATCACAATAAACAATTTTATGAAATTTGAAATATATAAGATTATTAATTATTTGAATAATGCAGAATATATTAATAAAAAATTATTTGAATATTTTTATAAAGTAATTTTCAAGTATTAAGGATGATGCTAAAAGTGACATCATTTTTATGGTCTCAGAAAATGTAGGGAGACAGCAGAATTAAACAGAGGCAGACACCAAAAGAAGATTACATGTTTTTACAGGCGTATTGTGTCACGGTCAACAAACACGACGTCATAATCGGCTGAAGAAGCTCAGGTGAGAATATGGCATCCGTTATTTATAGACTGTTACATTTATACTTGTATAGAGATTGATTAAAAGTAAAACATTGAATAAATATAAAGACTATAGATAACATAGCCATATTTCATTACGATTCGATTATATAGAATATAATTTCTTCTACAAGTGATTTTTCAGATCATTGAACCTGTTCGTTTCTATACGAATAGTAGAAAAACGACTTAACTATGTTTTATCAGAGCTATGATTCATAAAATTGAGAGCATATCTTATTTTCTGTAAGAGAATGTTGCATTGTTTTATTAAACTGGAATAGTTTGGCTTGGAACAATTTTTTTTTCTTTCAAAATATAATATAATAATAATATAATAATTAATAATAATAAATATAATTTTCGAAGTATAATGAATTTTGTTACAATCTTTTTATTTGAAATATAATATAATTAAAAATAATTTTTATTTGCAATTATTTTTCTGGCATTAATTATTTCCTATGTTTCTTTTTTTATTTCCTTTACAGTGATAATAGATCTTGATTAATATAGTTATTCTTTGCTAAATGAGCCATAATTGAATTAGAATATGAGCTGTGTTTGATTTTTATCGAAAAAAAGCATTAAAAAGATTCTGTTATACCTTTCAAGGTGGGTAACAATTGAATAGTTATCTTCTTTTTATGTCGGTTCTTTGTTTCGAGGCCATTGACTTCGACATACTGATCGTATAATTAAACTAGATCGATTATCGATTGTGCACATTGTGCTGCATCGTCTATTGAAAAATATAGCAAATTTGTTTTATGTTAGTAGCATAAAAAAGAATTAAATTAAAAAAGTGAAATTCTATTATCCAGTTAAAATCAAAAAATCTATTTTTTTATATGTATTTTATATGTCTATCAAACTTTTATAAATATTCAACTCTTCGTGTAGTCCAAGCTGAACTTAGCTTATTTTCGATTCCATCGATCGTAGTATCGATAATTTCCATCAACAATTATTATATCGAAATCGACGAATGATCATTAAAATACAGAAAATAGTTTCTATATCCATTCTCAATTATCTTCAAAAAATTGTTTTTAAGTGTTCCTGAAAAAATGATAATTTTAATCATTTTCGTTATTTATTCCAATAATTTTTACAAGCATCAAATATTCATCATAAATCCAAATATGAACGCTTTTTCGAGATTCATAATAGAGATTTCTAAAACTTACTGCATATTCGATCATCTTTTATTTCTTTCTGCAAGAATGTGACGGAGAATAATAATTAGGACGAAAAAAGTCGAGGTAGCAACCAAGAAACCCTCGTAGAAACAACGGAACAGAGGAACGTGGCTGGACCGCGAACCGTCCCTGGGAGAGGATTGAGGAGTGAAGAGGGGATATGTACAAAGGAGGGATGTGATTGGCCGAGGCAGAGAGGAGAGGTTCTCGGCTGTCGCGAGGCGAGTTGATTCCGCGCCACTTCGTTTCCGACTCGTGTTCGCGTACGACGTGCCTCGAGGAGTAACTCAGAACACTTCAATTTTCTTTTGTCTGCCAAAGGTAAGCAATATGTTTTTTCACTTTATTCTATGGAACATAAGATCTTGTTCTTTAAACATGCTATGAATATTATGCCGATGTGAATAGAAAATCAAAATTTATCGAGTATATAATATATTGTGATTATTTTCTGTGATTGTTTGAATATTATTTGATTATATTATATTATAAAGAATACTTACAAGAGATATAATCAAACGAGAAATATTTTGGAGAGACGATATCAATAAACAGTTGAACGATGAACTGTGACCGTTAAGAATCGGCTTAATTTGTTTTCACGGTGCGTTTGTTTTAATTTAGCAAAACTATAAAAATTTTGACTTAATGTACTGCGTACTTAAATAATGATTCATTATCTAAATGATCTTCGATTATCTCTGGGGCTATTGTACATTATCCTGTGCCAACCGGTTTTTAGGTTAGACAAAGATCGATCGCGTATACCAATCTGGTGTAATCAAATAGATTATTCATAATTTAAACTATAAATTAGTTTTTAGAATGTAGTTATTTTTAATAATATTGGTTAGATATTTTTTAAACATTAATAATCTAAAATTGAAAATACAAATAATTTGAATATTTTTATCGTGGTACCTTCGATTCATTGAAATGGCGGATAATTCGTTTCCCGATACAAAGAAAATTATCTTGAATTTAAACTATCAAAATAATTGTATAAACTAACTTTGGTAAAATATTCAAAAAATTTACAGAAATGTGAATATATAATTTTTACAAATGAATGATGTAATGGCAATTATTTCTACATCATGTGACCATACATTCTAATGAAATTATTAACCTTTGTTATTAATGTTTTGTGAGTAATATCATATAATTCATAATTAAGCGTGTCAAATTGATACTCGCAAAAAATGCAATAGATTCAATTCTTGTATTTCAAGTATTTTTTTTAGACAAGAAAGAATAATTTATAATAGAGTTGAAATTTATATAAAATTTAAGTTTTATATATTTAAATTATTTAATATATATATTAATAGCTTAAAATATTTAATGGATTTAAATCAAATTTTCAATAGTAATATTTAGCTACATTATCGATTTTACTTTATGGACTTCAATATTATTATATTACATCTTTGTAGTTTTTGTTTTAAAACAAGAAAAAAAGAGATTGATTTTAATTTTATATTGAAAAACAATTAATATATTACTATTTAAATATTATTAACTGTTTAAATAATAAATTTGAAAAAAATGATTAAATAAATATTTTATATATATATATATATATATATCTTTGAATTGATTTATTAGTAGAATGATTCGAATTGTATAAATATGAACCGATCGATTCAATTTCCGTCAAACGTTTTCAGAAAAGATTCAAAAACAGTATAATCTCATTTCTGATTAATCATTACGCAATCTTCCATTTTTATTACCTTGATAAATGAATTTAATGATTAGAAAATGTATCAAATATGTAAATCGCAAGGTGCGTTGCATCGGATTTCCGTTGCGGGAATACTGTCAAAAGTAAATTGACAGATTACGGTCAGACCATAGTATAGTAAAACGAGTGGGTGCAGCATGATTACGTAAGGCCAGGGATGCCCAGTGATTCTCAAATTTTTCATTCTAACTTTTTAAATTTTCTAATAACTTTTATTTTTATATTAATTTTAACATAAAATCTGATATTAATTTAATAAATAATTTATGGTATTAAATAAGATATATAAAAATAATTTATATCTATATTTTATTATATTTATTTTCTATTTTTTTTCATATTTGATCCGTTAACATTAAATTATTAGATTTCTTGAAAATAAATTGTATTATCTTAGCATTATAATCAATCAGTGGTATTTTCAACAAATTCATAAATCATTCGCAATTATTAATTAATAATACAACATAAATATAATCTTTAAATCGCGAAAATAATTTAATCATAATTAATTGTCAGTTATGTTTAAATCTCTAAATTGCATAACTTTTAAACTTCTCAAAACATTTAAATAAATTATTATATTTAAAGCTTTATAAAATAAGTTTATCTACTTTAAGATAAGTCTATCTACTTACAGATTTCAAGAATTGGCGAACGTTAAAAAGTTTTGGAATGATTGTAACTGATTTATCATTGGTCTAAAATTTATGAACAAAAGGAAGAAGGAGGTGTCTTATTAGCAAAGAAAAGTGCATCGATGCGTTTCTTAGTAGGAGGCTTGTTATGCCAGAGAAGACCGGAGATTCGTTTGAGCGGCGCGTGCATGCGTTATGGCGTTTGGTAATTCAAAACGGAAATTGATAGTTGGCGGTCTCCCGATCGGGGCCCTGCGTGCAAGGAACGCGTCGTTCGTGTTCATTTGCGTGCATGTATGAACGTATGCATACAATTACAGAACCGGAATGCATGCCTGTCTGCCGGCGATGTTTCTCTTTGATCGATTCCTCGCGACACACTCGTATATACTTACACCTTGATATCTCTTGCTTAATCGCGCATTGAGTTTTTAAATAATCCCTAAGACGCTGTAATTAGTTAGAATAATTAACATAATAATAATTAATCGAACGAATTTTTGCAAATTTTGATATTACAATATTCCTTTTTTTATTTTCTTTTCAAAAAAGATGGCAAGGCTAAAAATGTTTTTTTTTTTTAATGTTAATTATCATTAATAATTATTAACGATTAATTTTTGATAATAATATTTTATAGAGATTTTTATTTTTTTTCGTTACATTATAAATAATAGAAATTTAAAATTTTTTTTTTTATTTTTTAAGTAATTCTATAAAATTAAATTTAACTCAAGATATCATTTCGAGTACCACGTTTCTCCTTCTTTTACGAACAGATGTGGTTTGTTTGCACAAATGACAACGTTACTAATATCGCATGGACATAATTGATCGCGATTAACTATAGAGATTGCTGATATCGATTCGTCTTATCTTTTTTTTTTCGCACTTGTGATATTTAATATTTTTATAATTTTACGGTGAATGAAAATTACGCTTTCCTTCATATAATTGGATAAAGGAAACCTTTACTTAAATAAGACAACTATGTGTGAAGAAGAAAATATCAATGAAAATGTTGAGGATAAATTTAAATATCGAATAATATTGATTTAATAAAATTAGCAAAGTTTCCTTCAACTATAATAGACATAATGATTTTCTATATATGTTCTATTTAAAAAATTGTAACTTTATTCTTATTAGATATAGTAATAGCAATAGTTTCCTTAGTACTTCAGATTGTACTTAATAGTACAAAATTTACTGAATAAGTACATACAATGTATTACTTAACGAGTGTCCACTATTAATCACAATTAATGCAATCTTGGACTGCTTTCCGACGCTAATTTAAAGTGCAATTATTTCTGTTCAAAAGGTCTTTGAACTCTTTAGAAGACATTTCCGGATCTCCTCAAGTTGATTTTAATGTTTCAACTTGCATATTTATATTTCATTTACTATGCATTCAATTTTCCATTTAATTTCATTGCAACGAGTTATATTGTTTTATCATTTGTGCTTTTTTATTTTTAGCATTATTTTTCATCTTCGTTTCAATTCATTTGTCATCTTAATTAGACATTTATAAAAAAAAACTACTTTTTAATATTTTTTTGTATATCATAAATTTTAATTGTATTCTATGATATTTTTTTTTCAAATTCAAAATTCAAAATTAATTGTAATTCATAATTATTAAAAATAAATTTTTATTGCGGCGAATATACACGATCAAAAAATGAATTTTATCGATTGACCTTATTTGATCATTTATACATATTTCATTCACTTCCGTTGTGTCTTCGTTACACAAAAATTTATATACACTGCTTTAAACACATGTACTATTATGATCTCGAAGGTTCTTGTGCATTGTCGACTATACTGTATCTTAATAATTCATATCTTTAGATTTTAGTTTGTCCTTGGCATTAGCCATATACGCATATATAAATGATTTCGAAGTGCTTAAAGCCTACGTTAGAATTAAAAATTGCTGAGATTTCAAAGAAATAAACGACATTCTATATTTGATAGAACAATGTAACTCTTTCTGATAACTCAAATAACATCATTTGAACCAAGGTTCATGTGAACGTTATTCAATGCTTAGTAATGCTTAGTATAACTTTTTCATTGTAACTTTAGATAAAATTTAATATTTTTTAATTGCTTTTGCTAAATTTTATATTGGAATTTAGCGTATTTGAAGTTTTTTAATTTTATATCTTTTAAAGTTTTGAACATAATTTTTCTTCATTATAGTAATTATATATTTATTTTAATATATTACAATTTAATTTCAAATTCAAAGTTTGCTTTAAAATTAAAAATTTAACTGAGCTCAATTCAGCTTGATATTAAAGAAATGTAAAAATTTTAAAACTCGTACAGTAAAACACAATATTGAAGTGACAATGAATATATCTGAGATTAAAATCTCGAGTCCAATAATTGAGGCCAGCTATGAAGTTACATGAGTTTAAAAATACAAATTGGCTAACTGTGTTATGAGTAACGAACGATTTGTTTGTCATCTTCTTTTAGACATTTTGTTTGCATAAACATTTGATGTAATGTAATATATGCATTTATCTTGAATTAGAATAGAATATTAAATCATGATAAAATTTAAAGTTTTGTTATAAAAATATAATATTAAACAAAAGTAATACTTAATACTGAAAAGTATTATTTAAAATTTTTCATATCTTTTGAGAAGAATAATTATTTTATATTTTAAAAACAATTAAATGTAATTTAATAATAATCTTT